TGTGCTCCACGTGAGTTCAGTTTAATCTTAAATTCTGGAAAAACTAGAAATCTGTTAGAGAGATAGGATTTCAAAATCTTAATTAAATACGGGGGAACATTTCTTTTACAGGGTAATAAATTCAATCCAATTGATGCTATTAAAAGCGTTCTTAATATCTAGGGAGACTAACTTCTACTTTACTGGTGAGGGTTGTGTTTCCCCTATTTTGATTATAAGAAATCAATACAAGGCGGTGATCACTCAGAGTTTCGTTACCTGGGATTTCGATATTGATTTTGTTCAAAATATCTTCAGTTACAAATGTTAGGTCAGTCACTGATGAGCCCCTGTGGCCATCAAATGTAGGGATAAATTTCGCGGTGTCGTTTAGGCAGTGGAGATTGTTGGACAGCATCCAATCTTCTACTATTTTGCCACGGGGGTTGGCTTCGATGTCTCCCCATATAAAGGACCTACTATTAAAATCGCCAGTTATAATCATCTTCTGGTTTAGGTTTGTTTTGATGATTATCTCAATTTCATCGAGGTTTTTTCCCGTTCAAGGTCTTTATCTTCGGAATTTAGGTATCAACAGACTATTGTTACCCCTTTCCATTGGAGAGTGTTAAAATTTCGTTGGAGTTGAGGGATTTTTCTTCTTTTCTTAGAAGGGGGAATTTTCTCTGTTGAATTTCTTACCTAGCTTTACAACCAAGATAGTTGGCAGGGTGCTGGCCTCCGCACAGTGCACATGTCGGAGGAGGTTAGCAAGTTGGAATTCCTTCCGGCAACGAAAAATAAAAAGAAAATAAACTGAATCATACCTAGTTTTCTCAGTTGTTAGAGAAATTTGCACTATCAAAAGCTGTCTCAGCAATTAAAATGTTAACGAATTTCTCGTTTTCATTTAAAATATGTTTTACCTATTTTTAAAAAGTTTATGTCGTAGCAGTTGATTTCTGTAACATTGTGAACATTTTCAACTTATCAACTGAACTCCGTATAACTTAAAAAAGGTAGAGTTTCGGATAATAACGATATTTAACTAGCGAACGACTGACGGTTTTGATGAATTGATGCGAACATTTTTGAGAGTATACTTATTGGTCTAAATTTTTGGACTCTAATTCTATCCGTTTCGGTTTTTTGCCATTAAAACATTAAAAAAAAGACGCAGATACATTGATTATGCTACAGCGCGCTGAAAACGCCCTGGACATAAACACGAAGGCAATTTTTCCGCCCGCACAGAGATGAAAGCTGGAGGAGGAATCTTTCACTTTAGTTTAACTTTTCTTGCGATCGAGTTTACCTGGAGTCTGGAGTCAGAGACAAAATCAACATTACTGGAGACTTAAATGCGGAGTAAAGAAAGTAGTCAACGCGGCGAGACGGGAGTTATCATGTCGTACGGTTGCTCCATTTTGACGAAACACATTAGAACCGGCTTTTCATAGAGTCTGAAGTTGGAGACAGAATGATATTGCCGGAGACTTAAACGCAAAGTAAACAAAGGAGTCGATGCAGCAAAACGGGAGTTATCGTGTCGAGGACGTCCAATTTTCATGAGACTCTTTCTTTATTATTTATTCGCGTATAGTGATTAGCACACAGGGGCATTCAAACGTGAATTACGAAGATAAAACATTAAAATAACATTGAATACATTAAAGAGATAACAAAGATGTCAACTTAGCCCTTTAACTAAATACAAAGAATACTTAAGATTACAGCTTTTTTTAAAATTATTCTTCATAAAAAATACAATATAATATAAGCATAATTCAATATAAAGGTTGACATATTTGTGAAGACACTAAAAGTAACAAGAAATTAATTAATTAATTAATTTATTAATCAATTAATAAAATCTAAGTATACTCGTCTTAAGTTTGTCTTATGGCACTGGAACCGGCCGTGGCCACTACATCGGTGGGAGTGAGGGTGGAGATTGGTATTCTACCATTAGTTACTTTATTCCTAGTTTCTAATACTAATCTTATAAATCTATAAACCGTGTTCAAATTTGCTTTTGTTTCAAGTAAAATCGGAACACGTCCGATACCCGCTGCAGAGTGATAATTTAAGAGGTCTTAATGTTTGTCTAATAGTTTTAACATTTTTCTTCAATTTCATTCCTTCTTGCCTTATTTGGATCCCTTAATAATTAACGGGTTCAAAAATTATGTCAGAATTAACGAAGGCGGTTATCAGATAAAGCGCGTTTGTTATCGCATGAGCATGCGAGCCAATTAAGGGTAGAGAAGCGATTTAACGTTCTAGTGGAAGTATCGTTTCTCTGTCTAATCGAAGGGGGATTATCATAGATCCGTGATTGATCCAGTTGATTGTTTTCCAAGATTACACCTTACGCTTAGATACAGAGGACACGCTGTGAGTATCCACAGAGGGTATATCGTCAGCAGAGGAAGGGGGCAGAAACCTTTGTAATGAAAGGGAGGTCCAGGAGACAGAACATATTGATCTGTATGACCTCTACATAAGAAACAGAGAAACCTCATCCGAAATTTGGTTTTTCATGTTTTCTAGTTGCTCAGCTTGCTGCTTATTTTGGAGCATGAGCTCTTCGATTTTTTTGAGGAAGGAATTATTACTTTCTACAAGAGCCTTAGTTTGTTTTCTGAAGAACTCTGCAGTATCGTTGTTAGGGTTACCATAAATTAGCTAAACATGAGATTTTCTCTATTAATCAATTTAGATTTAATCATGCAAATTTTAAGAAAAAGGTTCAAGTATTTATCTATGGTTTAAGGATCGCTGGATGTACCCCTTTTCTTGGATTTACAATTAAATGAGTAGTAATTAATAGTTTTTTTGTTTATTTGCCATGCAACAATTTTTAACAGAATTGAAAATTACATCAAAAGAGGAAAAATAAATAAAAGTCACTAGAGAAAAAAATAAAACAAATAAGAAAGGGTATACAAAAGGTTAATTAATCTATTGAGTGGCTGCCGGAAATGCCGTCAGGTATAGCATTAGCAGCTTCTAGGGTCTTTTTCCTGCTTTCCATGACGTCCTTTACGTATTTACACACGACCATCCAGTTGTCTTTAGAGCTTAAAAGGTTTTCCAACAAATTTGAAGTCAGGAACAGATCACCGATCTGATGTTCCAAGCGCGAGCGTTCAGGTGTGTAATAAGAGCAGGCGAAGAGCGCATGTTCATGGGTGTCTACGGCCGATGGACAATGAGGGCAGGCATCTGTTTTTGAGATCTTCATGCGATGAAGGTAAGAATTGAAGCAACCATGTCCTGATAATAGCTGTGTTAAATGGAAGGTGGTTTCCCCATGATATAGTAATTAATAGTAGTAGGATTAATTAGTAGCACGGACTTTTGGGACACTCTGTATTTACTGCTGGCGGCCGGGCCCCAGCCTAAATAGCTAAGATAATCACATTTGTGATGATTTTTAGCGCATAACCTAAAATTCACTTTGCATACGTGCCTTTGAAGCACATCACGAATCGGTTATATAATTCAGCCGGAGTGTGTCACTCGGAAGTTATCAGAACGCAACTCCGGCAGACAGTCTATTAAAGTATCGTTAAAGCAGTCAGTTTTAGAGTGAAATGCAGTCACATATCCCACAAGCTATGATATTATGTGCCAGGCACTTCTTCATTATGGCGCTAATGTACGATGATGCACCAGTCATTTGGGGTTTACAGTCTTTGTCATAGTTCGTACAGAAAGCTTTCGGGTTGGTGTTAGCCCCCAGGCAGAGTTTTTAAGGTTGAAAATTTACATTTTCTCGAATATTGGCGTTTTAACAAGTAGGAAAAAGGCCTATACATGGACAGTAGAGAGGAGCACAGGATGCAGATAGATCGATTAGCTAACAGGCTGTTATACAGCTCGGGCGATATCTCTAATCTGTTTATCGAACGGCACTCTCAAATTAATAAATACTAAATTATTTTTTTTATTAAATTAAAATTGTACCACTGCCCCTTGCGGGGAATTAATTACATAATTGTTAATTTAAGCTTACAGCTAATCTTATGACTAATGTAACAAGATTTTGTTAATAAATGACATTCATACCTTAACCTACGCTTCTAAATACAATTCTATACATTATTCTCATCATTCGTACAGGCATACATACAATATAAGAAGGAGCAGATGCAACAAGTTGCAAATGCGAGTAAATTAAATACTTAATATCTAATGTCTTTGCAGAAGGAGCCATCGGTGTCATGGACTCCTACTGCAAAGTGGAAACTCACCTAAGTGTTCTGTTTAAGGTACACCATGGTAACTGATTTGATACAACACCCCTGTGGCCAAGTCATAGGGCTTTACCCTACGCAGCCTCCTGCTGAGGTCGTCGCTGAATGCCTGTTGAGCTAGCGGGTTAGAGTGCGCGCCCAGTCTCATGTGATGGCGCACAGCCGCTCTCTCAATCACTTCTTCAACTCCTCTCTAATTTTCTCATTCGTAACGAACCATGGGGCCTCGGCTATCTGCCTTAGTACCTTGCTTTGGAAAGCCTCCACAAGATACCGGTTAGATTTTCGGGTGCATCCCCATAGCTCACATGCATACATCCAGACCGGGCGCAGCACTTGTTTGTATAGCAAAACTTTGGTGCCTGAGGAGAGGGCCGAGGTCCTCTCCAAAAGCCAGTACATTTTTCTGTATTTGATGTTCAGTTGTTGACGTTTCTTTTTGACGTGATGTTTCCATCGTAGTTTGGTATCTAGGGTTACCCCTTACCCCTAGATGAGGCGCGTTATCCGTGAACGGCACCGGATTACCGCCTATCGTCACCGGTAGATAGCCAACTTTGCGGTTAGTGAACAGCATGTGGAGGCATTTGGGTTGACTAAGTACTAAAATTAAAGAACTTTTTTGGCACAGAAAAAGATCAAATGGACTTTTTCCAACTGCAATGATTAAAAAACAATCTTACTAGCAATCTAAATGCTCTCAAAAATTATTTTCATGATGCAAAAATTCAAATACGTTCCCGCCACGAAAACGGCGGCAAAAAGACCAAGGATTCGATGGGATTCAAATACACATATCTAGTGATTGGGCTCTCGGCCATCGCAATAAAGTGTGACAAATGCGTGGCGGGCTTAACAAAACAATTTTGATAGAGAAACAAACTAAACAATGCTTACTTCGAAGGAATACCGAATCATGCACGTCATCAAAAATTGAACGCGCGAGCTCAATTTAGGAGACATGTTATCAAATTGATGAACGAAATAGGTAAATCATTATCGATAAAATAAGCACCAGAAATATGAAGTCCACACGTGTAATCACAAATTAATCTAAATGTATTTTCACAGTCGGCATATTCAGCCAAAAAGAAAAAGTCTCAAGACGTACACATCCCTGTCGTAAGTCCTCGAGACACGCTACTTCTCAATGATTCATTCAGAGTCTTATCGACTTTTTCGCGAATTTCATTCTTTATGACCTCGTAAAGTTTTGAATGAAAACTGAAACATTGCTAGATTTGGGTTTACGCACTTTTTCGACCTACGAGGTGTTAAATATTTTTCAGTTGAACCACTCTTTATTGAAATTTTGTACATATTAATTTTTCAAAATAATAAGGTTTTGTGTCTTATACCATACAGTCATATGGACTTAAGTTTCATGTCGGTTTTACATTTCTGAATTGCATTTTTCCCAAAACTCATTTGTCTAAGTAATGATTTTCATGCCGTTTGATTCATTCAAAGCGCTGATATTTTCAGTAATTTGTACTTTCGTTATACCTCAGGTAAGCAAGTGACAATTAAAGTAGCATGTGTTCCAACCTTAAACTATTTTGGCGGTGCCTCGCAGCTAATTGCAGAACATTTGGATCGCATTTAACAAAAAGTAATTAGCATGATTACAGTGTTGTAAACATTTTTTTCTTCAAAATTACCTAAAAAATCTCACAGAATAGCAAATATCGTAGTTTCTGCTACCCACCAAAAAGTTCCTAATTTTAAAGGAAAATAATTGTGCAAATTTTATATCGAACATATATTGAGTATCTTTAAAAGAAAATAAGAAGTTGCACGATTTTTAAAAAAAAAAAAAAACTTGAACTGCGCTGGTTCCTTTTTGCTAAATGCGATCCACTTCAAAGGTACCCTCTTAAAGGTGTTTTTCGAGCAAATATACTACAATAAACAAATAATGAAGTTTGATTACTCTAATTTTTTAATTATTAAAAAATTGTTTTTTTTTTTCATTTCATACCTAATGCTAATTTTTAGCTGTCAGAATTTCTTGCCACCTTATACTCCCTGCAGCTTACACATCAAATCATAGATAACTTTCCTAACATAACTTTTAAAATATCCCCATGCCACTAAAACAGAACTTTTCTGTTGGATTTCTGAATTAATTTCTTTGTTAGAGATGAGGTTCCAAGTGTTGTTTGTTTCTTCATCTAAGATTGAGGTTGCATCAGGACTGACGAAATTCATCACCTGATCATAACTGACGTTTGGTTTAAGAAAATAATCAACTTTGTGTCCCAGATTGGTGAGCCATTGGGCCAAAACTCTTTCGTGGATGTTGGCTCTTATCTCAATACATGAAATTCTACTGGAAAAATAAGAAAATTAGTAAAAATACATTCGTTAAGTGGTTCCATATAACTTTGGCAATAGACCCTTTGTAAGGGAATACAAAGACTTACCGTTGCAAAACCTTTTTTTTTTTTTTTTTTTTTTTTTTTGAAAAAAAAGTATTATTATTATTAGTTTAAGAACTTGTACAACCACTTCTTACGGTCTTACGTAGTGGTCAACAACAATTGAAATAATTTCTTGTAACTCTAGTTCTTAACGTAGTGGTTAAACGCTATTTTTTAATAAAAACATTTTTATATTTACGTTCTTTGTCATTCCATCTTACTTGTCCCTGCTAGCCTCATTCATAGTTCCAAGTATGTTTCCTGGATAAATGTAATAAAAAGAGAAATGTAAAAATGAAATTAAGAGGAGCCATTAGAAAAAAAGAAATAACAATTATACAAATAAATTTATTTTTTTTTTATTTTTATTTTTTTTTATTTTTTTTTTTTTGGCGTCCGATTAATATATTATGAATGCGTAACAGGTCTCACGCCATGATGAACTTAGTTCCGTTAGGCAGAAATACGACCATTCTCTATTTGCTATTGACTCGCGGTTTCTTCTAAGTAAACGCCCCAACGGCCAAATCTCGAGGCTTAGGCCTCTTCCACCAAAAGAAAAATGTAAAAAAGAACAGAAGTAATTAGATAAAGTTATTTGAAGTTTATACACCATTTGAGGATTTCGCAAACTTTAATGAGCATCGGATCAGGGTTAGTACACACCCATACTTCAGGCTTCCTTCTCAGGGATTAAGGCCGAGTGGAGTCTATTTTTGCAAATCCACTTGTTAGCTCCTTGAAAATTCGTCGCCATCGCCGGGATTCGAACCCGGGACTTATTGGTCCAGTGTCAGACGCGCTGACCGCTAGGTCAACTGGACCGCGTTAAGCAGAAAGGAACCAAGTCACATCAGCTATTGTCAAATTTTATCGGGCAATTTAATTTTATACATGAAAACGTTTGTGAGGATTTTGGTGAAAATTTCAGTGAATTTTCATGCCGACTACTAAGCAAATTCCTTAAAATTTTCTAGGGAATCCGCATAAATGTTCCCAAGTAACATATTGAATTGCCCAGTTAAATTCGGCAATAGCTGATGAGGCTTGATTCCTTTCTGCTGAACGCGGTCCAACCGAAGAACACTGAAAAAAAAAACACATTGGATCTAGAGTCCAGAATCTTAAAAACATCGACAAGAAAAAAATACTCTTGATTCAATCATATTTAAGCTTAAATTAAGAACCAAGCCTCTTAATTTGAGCGGATTTCCTTTTGATTTAAGCTTAAATCTGCTTGAATCAAGAGTCCCTTTTCTAGTCAATGCTTTCAAGAGTCTGGACTCTAGATCCAATGTGTTTTTTTTTTTTTCCAGTGAATGGTCTTCGCTTCTGGAAAACTTCAAAGTAAGCACGAAAGTTTTAATGTTTCACTCAGGAATGAGTTAAGCACTTCTTTAATAAAGATTAAGTTCTTCTTTAATCAAGTTTCATAGATGCAATATGTGCTCCTTCAAATCCTACTTCTTTAATACTTACAAATTAGTACTTTTTGCTCGTTTTCTCACCACTCTCATTTTTTCTACCGCTGCATTCATTCCTTTTTTACAATAGTTGGTGTCAGGAGGAGCAACCGAAAGCCCTGCTCTGGCCGAACTTCGCCAGGTTCTTGGGGCATACGATCCGTGCACCCTTGAGGCGGGAGCGAAAGCGCCCCTCGACGGGCAGAAGCACAAATGCGCGGAACTATTCCAGAAGTTCATCGCCCTGCCGGCGGACCAGCGGTACAACTGCCCCGACGCTATGGACTCTGACTGCCGAAAAGTAGGCGACAAGTGGAACTGCACGGTCCTCGCGCGTCCGATGGGTAAAATGGTCGACGCCTCCGTCTACGAGACGCAGCCCTTAGCCGCGTGTCTGGGCGGCCTTGAGGAATGGGTCAGTCAACAGGAGGCCCGAGGGAACACGATCCCGTGGGTCAAGATACTCAAAGGGAGGCTCTCGCCACCACCGGAAGGAACTAAGTTCACAATTCCCCCTCATCTTTAAACCTGGGAATGGAGGAATCTGCACTGAAAATATATTTCAAACCCAGGGCTAGGACCTAGTAGAGGTCTTGTCTAGAGTACTTGACATGGTAACGGGTATGTCGGGATACAGTCACCTTTTGGCCACAGTATCACACGTGCCATGCAACGTTTCAAAATTTCCGCCGCCATTTTATATTTTTACAGAGAAATGGACCGCTAGACATGGTACGAATTAGAATTTAAGCAATCTGATACTAGTTTCTTAACCAGAATGTCACGTAGAATATGTTTCGCGCAACGAAAATTACTGAAACTAACTCCTAGCCAAGATATTAACGTTTTTATTTCACATTGGTTACGAGGAATTTTAACTGCCCGCTCACTAGAAACTCAAAGTTCTACGTGCGTCAAATCGCGCACTACAACGGTTTCAGCAAGCTTCTGAATCGAGCAATGTTCATTTCCCACCATGTGTTTTTCAAACAATAAGTAATTTGCTGTAGCTGAGCCGAAGCGTCAAAATTGAGGTTGCCAGATTTTTTTATCGCAGAGTCGTTCATGATAACGTTTAGCGAGCCATGTGAATCACGTAGAGCATTGAGTTTTCAAAAGCGGGTGGTTTCAATTCACGCACCAAGAATCATTAAATATCCTCGAAAGGAGCTGATTTCGGTAATTTTCGTTGTGTACATCGTGTTTTACGTGAAATTTTGATGAAGAAACATGTATCAGAATGCTGAAATTCGTACCTTGTCTAGTAGTCCATCGTTCAATGAAGCTGCCCGAAAATATCACCAAATTGTCTTTGCCAATATTATTCGGCAAAATTCTCAAACACATTCAACCAATAATTTCTCTGTAAAATCATAACATGGCGGATGTAATTTTGAAATTTCGCATGGCGTTTATGATACTTTGGTGGGAATTTGACGATATTGAGATATTGAGGACCTTCAATTTTTTATGATACTGTGCAACACCTCTGTTGCGAAATAGTTGCTTGAAGCGCCGCGGCACGGCACGGCGCGGCGTGGCGCTGCGGGCGAGGGCGACCAGCGCGACACGCGCGTTGGCGCCTACGAACCTAGCAGGGATACTTCACGCATTGCGCAATGCGTGAAGTATTCCTGTTAGGTTTGTAGGCGCCAGTGCGCGTGTCGCGTTGACAGCACGCCGCGCGACGCTCCACTCCTTATTTGCCTCTAATATTTTCACTCGCGAAGTCAGCGGTTTTCAACTCATGATTTTGAAATGTATGTACATTCTGCATGAATTATTCTCATTTAAATGTATATGTATTAAAGGAAAATATAATGTGTGTTTTGTAAATATTAAGGTGGTTCCGTGTCAAATTTAATGATAACCCAAGCATTTATATTTTTTCTTTTATATTTAGTGCTTTTACTGTGCCACAGCGTGGTGCACGCGCAACCAAACACTCAAAATTGGATTTATTTGACTTTAAAAGATCAACGCACAAATGGGTTAAAAGCAAAAATTGCGTAATTCTTGGTTTTTTCCCCTCTCTTTTTCATTTTTGTATGGTTTCTTTCAACACAACTAAGGCCCATTTAGATTAATATTGATGCCATCGTTTGGTAAATGTCTCACAAATATTTGTCATTTTGTAAGTACGTAAATGTTTTTAAAATAAAGAATATTTTCATTAAAACAAGGGTATATATAAAGAATATTTTACATCGAAAATTTCAAGAATCATTTAAAACCAAATATTCACTGATGACGATTTGAAATGATGAATCAAAAGAAGAAAGTAATACATGAGTTACCATAACAACACCTCCTTCTCTCTCAATTTTCTAATTTCAATATTGTCAACTTAATTTTACATATGGACTAACATATAACGCTTGGACCAAGCCTCTGTTGCCTCTTTTACGTGTGGACGTGAACTACAAGACAAAATAGATGCGTGGACAAAAAAGCATTGACTTAATGTCCTGAAACGATGATAACCGAGCCCTGTCTGAGCAGTTTATTTTCTATGATTTCTTATCCCTAAGCCTGCTCTCCGGAACCTTCTGTCTAATTTTCTCTAAAACTTTCTTGGAATCTATTTCTTCTTTATTTTCCATCTCATCTTTTTGCGGTTTTACCAATATCTTAATCTTCCTCCGGTTTTTCATTCTTTGGCTTTTTTTCGCGGTCCTTGTAAGTACGGTTTCGAAATCTCCCACATTTCTGGCTACTGTTGTTGCTGTCATTTTTGCGTATGTTGCAACTGATTGAGCTAATGCAGCTGATGTTGAGCTGCTTATTTTGGAGCATGAGCTCTTCGATTTTCTTGAGGAAGGAATAATTATTACTTTCTACAAGGGCCTTAATTTTCTTCATTTTGGCGCTAATTTTCGATGTACCAGTCACTCGGGGTTTACAGTCTTTATCATACCTAGTTCGTACAGAAAGTTTCGGGTGGGTGTTAGCTAGCCCCCAGGCTGAGTTTTCAGGATGGAAAATTTACATTTTCTCGAATATTAGCGTTGTGACAAGTAGGCAAAAGGCCTAAACTTGGGCGGTAGAGAGGAGCACAGGATGCAGATAGATCGATTAGATAACAAAGCGTTACACAGCTGGGGCGATATCTCTAATCGGTTTATCAAACGGCACTCTCAAATTAATAAATACTAAAGTTAAAGAACTTTTTTGGCACAGAAAAAGATTGAATGGGTTTTTTCCAACTGCATTGATTAAAAAAAAATTGCTAGCCATCTAAATGCTCTCAAAAATTACTCATCATTATGCAAAAATTCAAACACGTTCCCGCCACGAAAACGGCCGCAAAATAACCCAGGATTCAATGGGATACAAATAAGTTATCTAGTGGCTGGGCTCTCGGCGATCGCAATAAAGTGTGCCATGTGTATGGCGAACTTAACAAAACAATTATCTTACAGACAAAGAAACTAAAAAATGCTAACTTCGAAGGAATACCGAATCATGCACGTCATAAAAAATTGACCGAGCGAGCTCAATTTAGGAGACATTATCAAATTGATGAACGAAATATGTCAATCATTGTCGATAAAATAAGCACCAGAAATATTAAGTCTACACCTGTAATCACAAATTAATCTAATTGTATTTGAGACGTACGCATACGTGTCGTCAGTCTTCGGGACACTGCTAAGGGACAATACTTCTCAGTGATTTATTCAGAGTTTTTTCGACTTTTTCGCGATTTTCATTCTCCATGACTTCGTAAAGTTTTGAAAGAGAACTGAATAATTGCCAGTTTTGGGTTTACGCACTTTCGCATTTTCCGACCTCCGAAGTGTTGAATATTTTTTAGTTGAAGTGCATTAAAATTTTGTACATCTTAAATTTTTAAAATAATCAGGTTTTGTGTCTTATCATACCATACAGTCACATGGACATAAGTTTCATGCCGGTTTTACATTTTTGAATCGTATTTTTCCCAAACTCATTTGTTTGTGTAATGATGTTTATGCTGTTTAATTCATTTAAGATGCTGATATTTTCAGTAATTTGTACTTTCGTTATACCTCAGGTAAGAAATAGAAAATTTAAGTACCTACCTAGCATACGTTCCAACCTTGAACTATTTTGGCGGAGCCTCGCAACGAATCGTAGAACATTTGGGTTGCATTTAGCAAAAAGGAATCAGCATGATTGCAGTGTTGTAAACATTTTGCTTCTTCAAAATTATCTAGAAAATCTCCCAGAATAGCAAATAGTCTCTGCTTCCCACCAAAAAAATCTTAATAGTAAAGGTTGGTTAATTATTTTACAACGATCAGCAACCGAGCTATTTACGTCGGGGACTTAGAAACATTTTTAAAAGAGAAGAAGAAGTTACAGGAACACCTTAGCGAGGAAGGCTATAGCGATGTTAAATGGAATCCTCTGGGATCAGCGGATTTCCAAAGATAACAAGAGGAGAATATACAACGCTGTAGTTAAAAGTATATTAACATACGGATGTGAAGTTTGGCAGCTGAAGAAACGGACACAGGATATCGACGGTGAAACTACCAAACCACGTATCTCGGTTTGCGACGTCGCAGACTTCCTGTCATACTTTATTTTTTAAATGAAAAACTACTTAACATCCAGTCTTGAAAATTTCTGTGATTTTTCCTCTTTGTGCGGAGAAAATTCCGTGAAAATTTCAAGGAATGATATTGATTTGGTCTATTTCAAAAAAATAAAATGTGAGCGTAGATTTTTAAACACCGCAAACGAGATACGTGGTCTGGTAGTTTCACCGTCGATATGCTAAGAGCAACGGAGATGGATTTCTGGAGAAGGTCGGCAGGAATTTCTAGGAAAGATCTGGTCCATAATGATAGAGTGCGTCAGATAATGGAAGTCGAAAATGACATCGTGTTCGACGTCATGACCAAACAACTTGTTTGGTATGGTCATGTCAATAGGATGACGGAAGAGAGGCTGCCAAAAAACATGCTTGATTGGGTTCCTACTGGGAGGAGACGTAGGGGACGCCCAGTTAGAGGTTGGCGACAGGGGGTGTTAAATGAGATGAGGGAGTGTCAACTCCCTGATGACCTGTGGGTAGACCGAGCTTTGTGGCGATTAGGCGTCGTAAAGCGCCAAAGAGCGCTGTAAAAGTGACTCATATATATATAAGAAGTTGCATGATTTTAAAAAAAACTTAAATCTCGCTGGTTCCTTTTTGCTAAATGTGATTTACTTCAAAGAGACCCTCTATAGGGTGTTTTTTTCTAGCAAAAACTTTACAAGAAACAAAGAATGACGTTAGATTACTCACATTTTTTAATGATTAAAAAAGTTTTTTTTTTCATTTCATAATGCCAATTTTAACTGCATGCTTTTCAGAATTCCGTGCCCCCTTATAGTCTTTGCAGCTTACACATCAAATCATAGATACTTTTCGTAAAATAACTTTTAAAATACCCACTTGACACTCACACAGAAAATTTCTGTGGGATTTTGGCATCAATTTCTTAGTTAGAGATGAGGTTCCAAGTGTTGTTACACTGGTAAAAAATTGGCCTCCGGCCAATTTATGCGCGGCGCAAGCGCCGGCATGTGGGGGTTCGCGCCGGCGGGGGGGGGGCGCTTCGCTCCCATCATGGTGCGAGAATCGCACAACACTTTCTCGCTTTTGCCGGCGCTCCGCGCCGGCATAGACACTTTTACTGGAATATTTAGACAAATACTGCCAATTTTACAGAATCATAAAGTTTGATTGGAATTTTGATCCCAGGATAATAGTTATGAAATTTTTATTCAAACCACTGAACTTTATTGTAAATGTCTTCGCGATATGTGATGAATTCATATATTCGGACTCGACTTGTTGATTTTATGAGGCATCTTCAATTAAATATGTAATTGATTAACAAAGTCTCCTGTCAAGGACGGCGATCCGTAAAAATCTTAGCTTTTCTACGATTCATTAGGATCCATTAGATTCATTGACATCATACTTCAGATACGATTTTATATTATAATCTCTCCTTAAGCACGGTCAAAAGCCATCAAATATCTACTTTAATGGGTAGAATGACTATTCGATGTTTAAATAGTCTTAAAACTAAACGGTTTTCGCTTAGCATCTCCCAAATTTTATTTGGCGGGCAAATCTACCTGCTGGAAGGTTCACCACACGCCCGCCAAGAGCGCCATCTCCTTACCGCGTATCCCCGTAATTCAAAGCGAAAACAATAGAGAGCGCTGAGAGCGCCATCTCCTTGCTGCTGTCGACAATCGTCAACAAACCTCAGGTTATAACAATTATAACCTCCTTTATTAACAAGCATTAAATCAGTCATATTTGTGCCGAATTTTATATTATATTTGTGCTTAGTACCTCGTAAAAAGGAACCGCAAAAGATGGAATCTGCCGGGATTCTAAATTCATTAACAACAAACATATTAGTTTTTAATAAAGATCTAAGTGTCAGTTCTTGGCGTTAGCTTGATGATTCATAGTCATAGTACCTTTGTAATGTGAGTATGTACCTAATTAGTTGTCTAATTTTGCTTTGTGTATACCTACGGAGTAATTTTGGAAATAGTATATGATGCATTATATAATGCATTTGAATTCCTAGGTTTCACCTGACTCAAAGCGTTTGCTGCTATTATCTAGAAGCGTTCCGACTCATTTATCAGAGAATTGAGCGTCTCCTATCGGCCCCTTTGCAATTATGAGATTAGTCCAAGAATCCTTAAGGAGCTTAAATTAATGACTCAGATGGTGCTTTTGAGCCAACTTTCAAAGAATTAAAGGCATTTTTTTCAAAATCTACAGTCCATGAGCTCTCCGTGTGACCGAAGTGCTCTCCTCGCTATATGACGCGTAACCCTTCAATTTTTAGTTTAGTCCAAAGACCTCATAGGAACTTACATTATTGAACCAGGTGGTGCTCTCATGCCAACTTTCGAAGAAATGAAAGGCATTTTTTTTTCAAATTTACAGTCTTTGAAAATGAGTTGTTTGTGTAATGTCGCGGAGCAAAGTGCCCTACTTTTGGGCCTCGTAATCCCTTGAATTTTGAGTTTAGTCCAAAGATCTTTTAGGATCTTAAATTAATGACCCAGGTGATGTGCTTGATGCCCAATTTTAAAGAATTAAAGGCATTTTTTAAAATTTACAGTCCCTCAAAATGAGCTTTCCGTGTGATTTTGCTTAAAATGGACAATTGAGCGTAGCCCCCCCAAATTTTAGCGTACCTCAAAATCGTTGGACGTGCATAAGGAGACCATAGATATGGTGTCCTGTGCCAATTTTGAATGAAATCGAACAGATAGATTCTGAGATATCGCTGTGGACAGATTTGGGGGACGCCACACGGACGGACACACATTTTTTCAAGTATGGTTATTTTTACTCCTGGGACCTTAAAACGTCTAGAAATGATGAAATTTCAACTTTTTTTTTTTCTTGGAGGATGACAATACTTCCTCTCTACCCTATGGGAGTGAGAAAGTAAAAAACCTCTTGGTTCAAGAGTGCAGTTTCTTGTCGCCGGATTTAAGAGTCTGGACTCTTGTTTCAATGCAAAATCCGCTTGAATCAAGAGTTCAAGACTCTTAAATCCGGCGACAAGAAACTGCACTCTTAAGTCAATGCAATGCGGCATTGGTCCGAGAGGTTTTTTTTACCAGTGAATTTGTTCCTTCAAATAAGATTAGAGTTGCATCAGGACTAATGAAATCCATCACCTGATCACATTTGACTTTTTTGTGCAAGAGAAAATTTGCAGACAATTTTGTATGCAATGTAATCTAAAATATCTGAAAATGTCAAAGAAAAATGTGCATCAAAAGTACGTGTTTTATCTAGGGAAATATGGCAACTCTCGAACGTTTATACGACGTTCTCAGCACGGCAGTATTGGTCCAGAGTCAGCCGCTCCCGCTGCTAGGTCAACTAAAGAACAGTTTTTGCCTCTGAAAAACTTCAAATCAGGCTTGAACTGTTAAAAGTTTCACCCCGATAGGAGTAGAGCGCTTCTTTAATACTTTCAAATCAGTACTTATAGCTTGTTTTTTGACTACAGCCATTTTTCTTACCTCCGAATTTATTCCTTTTTTTACAATAGTTGGTGTCAGGAAGAGCAACCGAGAGCCCTGCTCTGGCCGAACTGCGCCAGGTTCTTGCGACAGACGACCCGTGCACCCTTGAGGCGGGAACGAAAGCGCCAGTCTACGGGCAGAAGCACCTATGCGCGGAACTATTCCAAAAGTTCTTCACCCTGCCGGTGGACCAGCGGCACAACTGCTCGGACGCCATGGACTCGGACTGCCGGAAAGTGGGCGACAAGTGGAAATGTACGGTCCTCACATGGCCGATGGGTAAAATGGTCAACGCCTCCGTCTACGAGACGCAGCCCCTAGCCGCGTGTCTGAGCGGCCTCAAGGAATAGATCAGCCAATAGGAGAACCATGGGAACACGATCACGTGGGTCAAGATACTCAAAGGGAGGTTCTCGCCACCACCGGGAGGAACTAAGTTCACAATTCCCCCTCATATTTGAACATGGAAATGGAGGAATCTGCACTGAAAACATCTTTCAAACTCAGGGCAAGGGCCTGGAGGTCTTGTCTAGAGTGCTTGACATGTTAACAGGCATGTCTGCTTATAGTTACTTTCCAGACAAAGTATCACAAGCGCCATGTGACGTTTAAAAATTTCCGCCGCCATTTCATATGTTTACAGAAAAATTGTTTAATAAAGCTGGCCAAAAAGTGCATTGAACTTTCTTTGTGCTGCCGATATAATTCGGTGAAATTCTCAAACACATTCAATCAACAATTTCTCTGTAAAATAAGAAAATGGCGAAGGAAATTTTGAAATGTCGCATGACGCTTGTGATACTTTGGCGGGAAGGTAGATGATATGGAGATATTAAAGCCCAAACGACCGCTAACCTTTTAACACAAAAAATGTCACTGCCAATCTTCAGATTAACACTTCGAAACAGGATGGTCAATAATACTCTTAAACAAGGGTTCTTCCGCAAAAGTGTGTGAAATGTCCGACATTTTGTCATCTCTCGAACTCAGTAATTTATTAATTTATTATAATTTTATAGTTTTATTGAAGTTGTAATTTTAAACAAAATGGTTTATTCGTATGCCCTTCCAAATTTCGCCATCGAATAACACACAAAGTCCCGGTGCGGACGAACTATTGTGGACAGCATCCCTCGTTTCGTGGAACAAGTTTCGGCGAACCGAACTGCGGGTCAATTATTGAAACTTATAGACAAAGCTATAGACAAAGACGACAAAAGGGATTTGGAGGGATCCTATTGGTGGAAAAAGGTGGTGGCAATGGACATAGGAGGTAGGTAATGGACTAACTAACGGCAACCCGCAAAAGACCCGACAGTTAGTCCATCATTTTCTTCCTTAGTCTATAAGAACCAACCATGTCAACCGAAAGGATCGCTCCATGCTCCCTACGTTTTCTTTGTCTATCGCTTTGTCCATCAGTTTCAATAATCGGCCCGCTGAGAAGCATGTCTAATAAGTTTCACGAATCGCGCTCGTTTGGACAAAAACCTAAGAAGCGTTCATAAATTACGTAACATTCTGAGAGGAAAGGGCAATGAACTTGCGTAACGCTTTGATAAAAGGGTGGTGGGGGGGTGTCAGTGTCAGCGTTATGTAACATTCTCTTTTGGTAAAAAAACCCACAAAATAAAAAATGCATCATCCTTATTTCTTCGACGTTTTTTCACACTATAAAAAAATACATCAGCTTTTGTCCAGCGATATATTTGGCATATTTTTGTCATGGGAAATGTGGCGTGTTACTAATATTCTCGCTCAGTAACGCGGCAGCATAGGCTTTTCACCCGTCTTTCCCCTCTCCGTCGCTTGCCCGTAAAAAAACTGCGAAGCGAGAGGCTTAGCAAGGACCAACGACTGGTTTCAGGACATTCCGTAAACGTTTTTTGTCCGTGCACCTGTACCTGTTATGTTCAGTAGTTCACGTCCGCGCGTAAAATTGGCAACAGTGACTTGGTCGAAGCGTCATATTTTAGTTCGTATGTAAAATTATATTGACAATTTCGAAATGAGAAAATTGAGAGAGAAGGAGGTGTTGTTGTGACGTAACTCATTTTTTAAATACAATTTTACTTTCTTCTTCTTCCTTTGATTCATCTTGTTTAATTATCATTGGTGAATATTTGTTTTTGTTTCTATCCTTAAAAATTTCTTTATGAAATATACATTGTAACTTTTTTTTTTTTTTTTTTAATGAAAGAATTTCTTCATTTCTAAGGCTTGGTAGATATTTGTATAACCTTTTCCAAGCGATGGCATCCATATTAATCTCAACAAGTAGTAGCTGTGTATAAAGGAGGTATTAAAAAATGATTAAAAGAGAAAATACACCAAGGAGCACGCAATCTTTGGTCAACCAAATTGTATATCAATCTCTTAGAGTCAAATACGTCCAATTTTGAACGTTTGATTGCACGTACACCGCGCTGCAGCACAGTAAAAATACAAAATATAAAAGAAAAAAATTAAAATGCTATGGGAATCACTAAGGTTGACACGGAGCCAAATTAATATTCACAAAATACGCTTTATTTTCCTCTAATACATATCCCCCTCCCCCATCAATTGAAATGAGAATAAACCATGCAGAGCGTGTAAAAATTCCAAAATCTTGAGTTGAAAAACGCTAACTCCGCGAGTGTAAATATTAGAACCTAATACAGAGCGGAGCGGCGTGTGAGCAGCGCGAAACGCGCACTTTTCCCCCATCAATTCAAATAAGAATAATTAATTTAGAGTGTGCAAATATTTTAAAATCATGAGTTGAAAAACGCGGACTCCGCGAGTTTAAATATCGGAGCTAGACACAGAGAGGAGTGGTGTGCTGCCAGCGCGACACGCGCATCGGCGCCTACAAACCTAACAGGGATACTTCACGCATTGCGCAACGCGTGAAGTATCCCCGTTAGGTTTGTAGGCGCCAATGCATGTGTCGCACTGGTCGCCCTCGCCCAAACGGCGCTTCAAGCATCTATTTACGGAACCTTACGGAACAAAGTGACCAAATTTTGGCAGACGGTACTTCTATTTATGGTCCCCGTTTTTTTGCTCAAAATTACACTACCTATGCAATTGGTAAGTCACTCTCTTTTTTCCCCTCTCTCGTTTATTTCATGCAGAATCGTGATATTTTTCGAATTATTCCTCCAGTGTTACAACATAGCGCGCTAAAATATAGCAATGCTCTCGTTACAGAATCAAAGGTGTGCGAAAGTGATAAACTGCGTATAAGTAACTGCCGTCCTCACGAAAAAGCCCTCTAATCCAAATCACTACACGTTTTACTTAAAAATAAGGGGACGAAATACAAAATGGAACTCAATTAAATGCCAAAAAGTTGTGATTCTCTATGAGCTGGATAGAATTACTAAAATCCAGCACAGGTACAACGTGTCTATTCTCTAATATTCTTTGATATCTATATCTTCATCATCGTATTTATTGGCAATATGATGTAAATTACAAACCGTGAGCGTCAAATGGACTAAGAATTAGGAACCTCAATCCACAAAAATTGAAAATTAAAACATGCATGCCCTATCACAGAAGCGGGATCTACAGAATATCTGGATACAAAAACTAGAAAAATGTCAAACCAAACTTGACTTATACGGTGGTTTGAATTTTGCACTTCAAAAACTCACATTCAAGAAATAAATTCACCAAGTTGAGGGCACAAAATTGTCGCGTTATATAGCGCATCGCCACATCGTCATTCACAAACATAATTTAAACTCCTGACAACACACTTTACGATTATTAAACTGAGATATTTATTAGAACAACCACTTCAGGATCCGGTATCAGTAGCTCAATTTTGTATTGTTAAGCACAACAAATGTAACTTTAAAAGCATTCCAATCTACCCGTAGATCGTGAATTTAGACTGAGGAGGTGATTCGATGGACGCCATATATTCGGTCAGAACGGCATGCGATATATCGCATCAATTGGTTCCATTTTTTCAGCTACTCGAAACATTTCTCCAATTTTAAGATCGCAATTCTCTTGTCAGGAGACTAAAACATTCACCAATTTTAACAAAGAAATTCAACGCAATAAAGACGATGTTTTTTCAGAGAGAAAACATCGCATTCGATACTGATAAACTGCACTCGAATGCGATATTTTCTCTCTAAAAAAAACCATGCCTTTATTACGTTTAATTTCTTTGTTAAAATTGGTAAGTGAGTGCTTTAGTCTCCTGACAACAGAATCGCGATCTCAAAATTGGAGAAAAATGACGAGTAGCTGAAAAAATGGAACCAATTGATGCGATATATCGCATGCCGTTCTGACACAAAATATGGCGTCCATCGAATCACCTTAACAATCGATTCTTGTTAGAACACATACGGGCCCTTTGAAAATCGTTCCATTCTCATGGGTTTCAATAACGAGGAGAAAACAACTCATGGGTTTAAATAACGAGGAGAAAACAATATTGCAAACTTGCCGGATCCGAGCGGATCTGCCAATGCCATCACATGAGTTTACGCGTTACTGACGGTATTCATGCGTGAAGAACCGAAGATGATATCAGATTCACAAAGTTTATTGCCGGAATTTCTTTCTTTATTTCTTTTTCAATGCAAAGTTTTAATCGGCGAAAATCTTTCTCCGGCTTATTTCCGAGAATCAAACAACAGTCTGTACAAGTAATTAGAATCGTTCTGCATAATGATGTACGAGAAGAGGTGCGTGCAAACGTTTAAGATGTAAGAAGTATTTACACCAGAAAAATTCATTTGTTTGCTGAAACTGAAGCCGCATTAGAGAGAGAGAGATAGTTTTTTTTCAGTGATTAAAAAAAAGTTTTAAAATTATAGACTGGGTACATTCTCCTTTTCTTAGATGAAATGCAAATTAACAGAGAGATAGCACCGACGCGACTAACAAAATATATAGTTTAAACAAAGTTTTAAATCTGAGGGGCTTGGAGAACAAGGCGCAAAAGTGCAGTTTTTGAAAAAATTGAGATATTTATGAACTCGACTGAAACTACTTTGAAGGTATAATCTGTGAAAAATTGACAACTAAGGTCCAACTTTAAAGCACCAAAAAATAAGTCTAAACCTCATTTCTATCAAAAGGATCCATGTAATTTTGAAACTTTGAACACGTATATCTTGAAATCGCGAAAACTCCACTTAAGCGCCTTGCCCTCTGAGACCCTCATTTAAACAAGTAGACAAAAGTTTATTTATCTCATTCAACGATCAAAATTGAAAATCTTCAGTTCATTGAAACATTCGTTTAAATCATTCTGACATCCCTCATCAATTTGTGACTGTCTCAAAAAGTTATCCTCCCCCCCCCCTTAATGAATTTGAGGATTTTCTCTTCGACAGAGTAAAACAGGTGAATGAATGAATAAAGAGAAGGAAAGATACGGAAAAATAATTTACAATGCTGTATTAAAAAATACTTTAACATGAGGAGCTGAAGTTTGGTAGCTGTAGAGAGAGCCACAGGATATGATAAGTGTAACAGAGATGGATCTTTGGAGGAGGTCAGCAGGAATTTCTCATAGAGTCGTAGTGTAAATGGGAGACCTGACGCCATGTTCTGCTCGACAAGTTCCGAGCCCGGTGTGCGCCGAATTCGGGTCACTTTTTTGATACTTGTTCGATCCAAAATGGCAGTGTGAAATAAGTGGTGATTCCAATCTTATTTGTTTACATCTGGTGGCCGGGTACCCATGTATCGCAAACAATCGATCATGTATCGAAAAAGTGACCCAGCGTCAAAAAGGAGTCTCGGAATGGAGATGTTGCATGTGTGAGGAATTTGCGATTTGACTGTTGATTCTTGTAAAATTCTGTGATTCTTGTTCTTACTGTTGATGTAAAAGTTCGCGAGAAACACGATGGTGCCACTGGTTTTCTCTGAAATCAACTCCCAAGCTCAAAAAAAGCTCTCAAGTTGAGGCTAAAATGGAGGGCGTATCCCACCCTACCCTGAGAGTCCACCTCTACATCAAGACAAACTCTCCATGCAAAGATAGGGAGCAAATACATTAGCAGGGTTGCCGTGTTTTCAGTTTTGGAGTTTCCAAATGCAGTGGCAGCCCTATCAATGTATTTGCTCCCTATCTTTGCATGGAGAGTTTGTCTTGATGTAGAGGTGGACTCTCAGGATAGCTTAGGATACGCCCTCCACTTTGGCCTCAACTTGAGAGCTTTTTTTTGAGCTTGGGAGTTGATTTCAGAGAAAACCAATGGCACCATCTTGTGTCTCGCGAACTTTTACATAAGAATCAACAGTCAAATCGCAAATTCCTCACACATGCAACATCTCCATTCGGGACCTGGAAAATGCTTAAGTGGCGCCAGCTCACCCACTTACATTACGACTCTATGTACTCTGTGGAATTTCTAGAAAATATATTTATTCCAATGATAAACAGTCTTACCCATTTGTGACCGTCACGCGGAAAAATCCTTTCGTCCACGAAGACTCGAAATTAAATTACTGCAATCAGTGATATGTACTCATGCGCACAGAGAAGTTTTACTGATACGCATGTCACGAGTGTAATGAAGCATACGAGTGTCACGCAATGAAACCTTCAATGTCAGCGATGATGAAAATTTACTTTTTAACTTGACTGCATGCTGCGTACCGCATCATAGGCAATGTAAATCACAATAAGTATCAAATTTTGCTCGCACTGGCATCATCTGATAAAATGTAAAATTCAAACAAATAATTTGAATTCATCCCACGGGTTTTGTCCGTCGAAAAAAAAACGAGGCAATGACCGACAACTGCAAGCGGAACTTGACGGAAATCCGTCCAGCAGATGGAGCATCCTACCAAGTCTGAGAATAAGTATTAAAGTACCTAATTTATTCGTAAGATAAGAGTATTAGGAAGGTGCAATCAAACATAAAAATACTCAGAATAATTTAAATTCCAGGATAAAAGTGAAGTGGGCGCTTTATTTGAGTTCTCTTTCTCTCCTCTTCTCAACGCGGCAACTCGCCTCAATGGATACTCACAACATGTGGAAGACGGCTCCCTGAATTACGGTAATGTTGAGTCCTTCATTAATTTGTGATATTACGTAGATATTCATTAGTCCAATTAGACTACATATTGTGATAGGGCACTACTATTTCGGTTAATTTTAGAAACAAAATTAATTTATAATAAGTCAAACACTGAAAAACAAGCAGTGAACTCCAACACAATGTGTTGATAAGGCGCGTCATTAACTCGTACATATCAACCCCTTTAGTTTTCATTTACAGAGATTTCAAAATAGGCAAACAGCATAAAAAGAGAATTCACGATCCAACACTGCGAGGTCAAAGACGCACCTTGACGAGACCGTGTATTGTGAAAGTAGAAAGCTATTCGATCGAATTTAAGTTTTTTGATCTGCCTCAAGCAAAATCTTATCAGATTCTTGAAGAAAAGTGCTACGGAATAATTTAAGCGAAGAAAGGAAAAATTCTGTCGAACTCCTAGAAGATAAAGTCGATTTAAAGGTATTTTGGGGCTAAAATACCCAAATCACCGGTAGTAAAAATCCCGTTATATTATTGAAAAGAAATTGACTCGATATAAATGCAATTGCATTAAATACGTCTTGATTTTGTTATTTTAAACGTCTTTCCATGCAAAGAAGTTCAACCATGTCGTTGCTTTATTCATTCATGAATTGAAAGTAAGCAATCTACATCCCGAAAATCTACTGATTTGCCGTAAAAAATTGCAGAAACTTGATATACCAGGTCGATGCACCCACTCGTTGAATTTACCAACCAATTTTGTGAGTGCAAATGTGTAAGAATCAATATGCTA